GCGTGCCGCCAGCCATCAGTCAGCCCAAGAAACTGTTCGTTTCCTTCAGTGCAACAGAAGAGTTTTCCATGCGTCTTTTTTTGGGGAGAAACGTTTAATTGAGTAATTCCTCTTGGAGGAGAGCAAATGACAAAAGCGTTATCGGAAGTGGCCCCGAGCTGGCGGTGCAGTCACTCCGGACGTCTCGTAACCAGCACTGCCGCTGGTCGTGCACCCCCCGCAGGTCGCGCCCCCCCGCCCCCCCCGGGATGGCAGTGCGGATGAGTCTCCCCATTTTCCACAGCGCTCACCATCACCAGCTATTGTTCAGCTGGTCTCTTGCATCAATACCGGAAATTAAAATGATGAAATTGGCTCCCAGCTAATACCTCAACGTTCATGTTAGCCTTTTTTTTTTAATGCTACAGAAGCAGCAATCTTGTGTAGTAAGTAACCTCTTAGTTTATTCTTTTTAAAAATTCCTTCCCTGTCTGCAGTTGGCCAGACGCGTTGTAAGCTGTCGGTACATTTTCACACCTTTACTGGGTGGATGATAACGTGGGAGCTGAAAGAAGCTGGCAGGTGAAAGGGTTTGTGCCAGAGTTTGAAAAATAACGTGGGTAAAAAAATGATTAAATACAATGGAGGAAAACAGTGATCTGGGCCAGAAAACCCCCAAGTAACAAACAGTCAGACACACGAGTGACATGAGTGTTAGGAGATGCCCGTCAGCCTCCGTGCGCTCAGCCTGCGTGCCCGCGGGGACCAGGAGGGCTGCCTGCCGTGGACGCCTTCTCAGGGGAGTGTGGTGGGGCGTGAGGACGCCTGTCCGGGAGCACCGCGTCCATTACTGCTCACGGTCGAAACTTCATCTGAGCCAGGAGAGCGCGTACCTGTCACTCAGTGATCTTCACACATTTCATTGTGTCATGCTGCTTTGTAATTTGAAAAAATTTTTAAACACCTTTACTGTGGTGTAATTCCTGTGCAGTAAAACGCACACACTTCAGATGTGCACTCTGATGACTCTGGTAGCTGTGTGCACTTGAGAAACCACCACCACAGTCAAGACAGCTCAGCTCCCGTGCTCCCCAAGAGGTGCGAACCCCAAAATCCCAGCTTATCCCCTCCCACCGCTGTCACCCCCTGGTGCCCGGAAGTCTGCTCTTTGTTTGTGAGTCTGGTAATTTGAAAAAATAAGGAAAGTCTTCAATTCGCTCTGCTTTCAATGTTCTTTTTAAAATACGTATTTTAATTTTTAGCAAACTAGCACATGCCATAATTTTAAAAATTAACTACTGCCGAGGGTTTACGATGAACGACAGCCCCCGGCCCACACCGCTTGGCCAGGACTCTGCCGCTGCCGGGAACCCGTGTTACCCGTTGACGCTGCTGCTTCCTCTCGTGAGTGTCTCTGTAAGTGCAACCAGCATGCTTGCACCCCTCCTTCTGGAGTCATAAATTTTAGGTTATCTCTGGGCTCCCTGCTACCTCCAAACCAAAACCAGAGCTGCCATGAGTAAGCTCTGTTGAACAAACTGGAGGGACTGTGCAGCAGAACTTTGACAGCGAGGAGACGCGTGACGGGGAGGCTTAATGTCGTGTCTCGTGTGCGTCAAGTTGTGGGTTCCAAAGAGAAGGCAAGGAGGGCGAGTCACTGACTGCCCGCCCTGTGTCCCCACCGCCGTTTAGTTCTGTCGCTGTATTTGGGTTCTGTCTTTTGTAGCCCCTGCCATTTGAGATAACGCCCTGTGGTTTTATGTAGTTCCGCCAGTAATCACCACCGTCTTCTGGGTGGAGGCTCTTGGGCGTTCTGTTGCGTCCCGGCCTTCCCTGCTCTGCCACCTGCACTTGGACGTGTTCCCTGATCTCCCCGTGCTGTGTGGAGGGGGCTGATTCTGAGAAGTGACAGATGTTGACCTTCAGCCCCCTGGTTGCAGCCATGTGCGTGCTGTTCATGCAATGGCTGAGCCGGGCGCTGGGGTCTCCGTTTCTGCAGCAGCTTTCGTGTGCTACTTTGCTTTTCCTGGAGATTTTCTCTTCTTCTTGAAAGAGAGTTTTGACGTCTCCAAGTTTGCAGGGGCAGCACCAGGCCTCGGACGGGCCTCCTTCCCGGGGTGTCTTCTTCGTGGGTCCCTACCCCACTCCTGCGGCTGACCGTTCTGGCTGGGTCTGCCCCCGGCTGCGGTCTGGGGTTCCCTGCACCCCTCTCCTGGGCGCAGCCGCGGCCGCCATGCTCCGCATCCCACCCCTGTCGCCTTCTCGAGTTTCTCCTTTGTTCTGCTGGGGTGTCTTCTCAGGCTGTGCGTCCGCCCTTGGATGCTTCCAGCTGTAAGTAGTGAAGAACCTCACTGCTGGTTTCTACATGAGTAACAGTTTGTCTTTCTCTCTACGATCTCCGAGGCAGATGATTTAATTATTCAGCAGCACCATGGGGGCCCAGGCTGTTTCGTCTCCCCCGCAGCATCCTTCGCAGGCTGGCGTTTATCTCGGTGGTCACGTGTGTCCCCCTGCGTGGAGGCTGACCGGGCGGGCCGGGCAGTGCTGCCCCAGCTCCCTCTTAGGGGAGCTCATGCAGACCCCCAGTCTCGCTGGGGGCTGGCGGCACACAGGAGTGGACTTGGGGTGCATGCCAGACGCTGATGGGACGTCACGTGTGCCCTCATTCTGCCCACACGCGCTGTTGATGGCGGCTGTGGAGTTCTGGGCTGTTTTCACTAACTGTCCCTCTTGCTTCTTGCAGTAGATATGAAGGGGCACTTGAGAGGTCGGCCCAGTGGCCTTGTGGCTGTGACCACGGGCCCAGAGGTCCCACTGCCTCCATTCAGACAGGAGCCGTGGAAGGAGTATTTCTGTCCACGGTGTACGGTGTATGTGTTGAGCCGGAGAGAGAGAGAAAGGAGAACTGAAATGTTGGCAACAGCTTTTAATTTAAATATAAAATTCTTGTAGCTGGTCCTGTAACTGGAAGGGAAG